CTGGACTGACCACTGGCTAGGTTTACTGAGCTGCGACGAGTCCCCGATTCGTTATAATTGCAAAGAACATCGACGGTCAGAAGAGATCTTATGTACATGGACAGAAATAGGGGAGATGGACTACTTCTGGACTAGCTGAGAACGTCATGTTTGACGCGTGATTCTTTCTTTTTCATCTTCTTGCGTTGCTGGGCAGCCGCCTGACGTTTCTTCTTGATTGGCTGCTCAAACTGTAAGTTTCCACGTCCCTCGTTCTCCTCTTCGTCCTCCGAAGCACCCAGTTCGGCTACCCCCTCCTCCTCCTGCGTCGCATTCCGTCTCTTCCGCTGCCTGGAGGCCTCGGCGTAGGCCCGACGAGCGGCCTCAATACCGGCAGCTCCGCTTGCCCAGTGTTGATTGGCCAATTCTAGCTCACCATCCTGATCGACATCAGAGCGGTCCGTGGCCGCCCCGTCTTCACTCTCCGAGGAGGCACCAGCAGCCCGTAGTTCCTCAATTCGTCGTTCCTCCTCCTGTCGTAGGGCCTGCACGGATAAAACACGAAATACTCAGAGATCAATCAATTCGAACAGCGAACCCTCAGAAAAGAGGCAAGCATATCAAGTCAGGCTAATTGGAGAGAGAATTGGATAAAATTACTGCCATTTTCGGCGCTCGGAGACCAGAGTCACACATCCTTTTGTAAAGACTCGACGCAATACGCAGGGGTCAGGGCCGTGCGTGGCACGTGTAGACGCGCTGCCGAAATTTTGTCATTCATGCAAGGTCAGGTCCTTGCGTGGCACGCGTAGACGCACTGCCGAGGTTCTGTCATTCATGCAAGGTCGGGGTCGTGTGTGGCACGTGTAGACACGCTGCCGAAGTCCTGTCAGTTATGTAAGGTCAGGTCCGTGCGTGGCACGCGTAGACGCGCCACCGGAGTTCTGTCATTCATGCAAGGTCGGGGTCGAGTGTGGCACGTGCAGGCGCGCTGCCGAAGTTCTGTCAGTCACTGAGCCCATTTTCAGCATCAGATGGCTGACCGGCTTGGACAGTGGGTTAGTGCATGGGGGCAGAGGGGTGAGGCCGACTCGGGGACTCCAGCCCCATGGCACTCAGCGTGACTCGCCTAAAACTATCACGAAGCGCTAAAAGCTGTGGCTTGGAAGGCTGCCAACTGGCTCACAGGACGCAGAGTCAGGCTGCAATGGCGCCTTGGCCTCTATTGAATCCGGGTCGACTGCTTCTGTCTGCGACCTGATCCTTTTTGCGCGGACCAGGCGTGCGTGGACTGGGTGTTTAGGTAGGTCAGACACTGCGCACGACCCCGCAAACGGTCGTTTTGATCCAGTCCTACCACTGGTTCCGGGAGGGTGAGGGAGGAGAGAGTGCGGCGGATGCGGCTATAACTATAAACTAGTTCACGCCTAAGTCACCGACCTACGCGCACACGGTGGACATCGTCGTTACCGACGACCGAACCGACAAGGCGGGCAAACGGATGTAATGGGAGGTTACTAATAATCCGTCATTACTGTCAGGCACCATACAAGACGGCATTAAACATTCCGTCAAGCAGACAACCTGCTGGTGAACTGCACAGGTAACTGGGGCTTTACCCTGTCATATTGGCTCAGTGGAAGTGCTGAGGCATTATAAGATGCTGCCCGCCTAACTGACAGGAGAAAAAAGGCTGGAGGATGACGCCCGTCTATCGACCATTCAGTGCGTCAGTAAGCGGCAGATGTTGGAACTGCCCTTAGTGAAAGCTGGCCATGAAGTAAGTGGGCTTCCAGACCTCATGAAATCAGCAGCAACGAAAGCGATGCGAAGGACCGCAGTCTGCCAGCGGCTACCACACAATACAATGATGGCACTATGACATAAAATGCGTGAACCATCAGCAAGTAGAGTCTTTCCGTCTCCAAACGGGTTTGACCTTAATCCAGAGGACAAGCTACATATTCGGAGGTGGTAGAATACTGGCCGGCAAGAGGACTGCTACCTAGTGTGACAAAATGCCAGTGTAGACGCCAAATGCATCAGCATTGAGTAGTTTACAGTGGGTCGTATCAAGCATTTCAAGGATTCGACTACAGGAAAGCAGGTCAACGCGATTGAGGCCTATTGGAGCTGACTGAAACGGATTCTCCACGAAGAAACACCGATGTCGGGTTGCGCAGTATGGATCCACGTAGACGAGGTTCAACATCATCTGTGATTTGGCGTAGACGGCGTAGCGATAAATTAATAAACTAACCAAGGCCTGTTAAAACAGATATAAAGGTTAGTTGTACATATTAAACCTAGTGGGGTTACACAACCTATCCTTGACCAAGCGAGCTTGACCTCCATCCAGAGGACAAGCGAAGTATTGTAGAACCATGTTGCAGACTGACTAATTTTACAACCCTACTTAATTAATCTTTTCGAAAGGAGAACCCATTTACGGAGTACGGTTCTTGTATGAAGCCGAAAAGACGTTTATCCAAAAGCTGGTCTCCTGGGGTAACTGGATTATTATAGAATTATACTCACGTTGGTTGTTGTTAAAACACTAATTAATTAATCTTTTCGAAACGAAAACGCGTTTCGGAATTTTGGTTGAGATTTCATGAGTTAGCCCACCTAATGTATGCACCCTTTATTTAACTGGGCGTCGGGGCCTAAGTAGACATTCGCAATCGAGCAGCATGCATAACGTAAAGGTATGAGAGACTGTTTCAAAGCGGATTCGCTCGTCCTCCGGATGGAGGTCAAATTTTATTGGGTAGGGATAGGTTGTGTAACCCCACTAGGTTTAATATGTATAACTAACTATTATATGTTTTAACGGGCCTTGGCCTAGATGGTTGAGAAGATTGCAAATTGCCAGGATAATTCAGTTTATCTCAGGATATATGGCAGGACTGAAATGGTTCCTCCTTGCTGTAGTCTCTGTGGCACTCTCGCTGATGGGAAAATCTGAGTAGTACTTATGGTACCCTCGTACGTGCTGTACACTCAGCCATGTAGCCAGAATTGTTGACAGTGTGCGTTGACGGCTCATTTGATGGGATTTCCAACCAATCACGGAAGGCGTGTATTTCAACCAATGCACATTGGTCTGTCAACCGCCCAATAGGCGTTACAGGAACAAATGAATTGCGGGACCCAAGGTCGCCCCAGTCAGGGATGAGTTTAACATCAACTGAATGAATTCAGGCGCCATCTTTCCGCCCGGCTTTTTTATTAGATTACCTAATCACACCATTGTTTTCGTTATTCGACAAATATGACACCCAAGTAACAGTAAGCACACAACGTCTTGGCAGTATTATAACCCAAATAATACAAATACTGAAGGATTTACCGTACTGACAACACAGGTACTTTCTAAAAGCTCAGACACGTGTGTTTTGCCGATCCTGTGGTGATACTTGACGCAGCTGCGAGAGGTTTGGTTCATCAGTGGGTCTCCCAGCGTTTCCCTGCGCTCTATAGTGGATACTCCAGTTCCAACGCAGCCCTTTAAAATTTCCTCGGAGGTTAATGTACTAACCTGAAGGAGACCCTTCGTAAAAAAAGGCTCAGGCTCGACCTGAAAGCGAATGGGACACACCAATGGGGCGAACGCCTCGCAGTTGCATCATACAGCGGCACAGGACGGGCGAAACATCTCTGTCCAAGCTTTTAGTCAGTGCCCCTGCTGTCGTCAGCATGGCAAATCATTCAGCATTTTTATACTACTGGGCGCCTGGTGGCAACAAGTAGTACAGGCATACCTTAGCGGCACGCGACCATGCCTCCTCCGCTAGCCGACGACGGGTGGACATTGGCAGCAAACAGGTCCCACCGCGGTCGCGAGGACCTGTTTTCTCAGGCGGGAGGGGAGTTGGCCAGCGCGGAAGGCTGCCATGCTCCGCCCCACGCGATGCCGGCGGCAGGAGGGCAGCCTCCAGCTCCAGGTAGGCGGCGCCGTCGTCACGAGTGATCACAGTTACCGCGGTGCCTCGGCGTCCGGCACGTGCCGTTCGACCGACGCGATGACGGTAGATCTTGGCGGTCAGTGGCGTGCCATAGTTGATGACCATCGCCACCAGCGGCAAGTCGAGACCACTGAAAGGGGGGGGGGATGGGGAGTGAAGGGGAAGGCAATGTAATAACCCCCGGGAGGGAGGGAGGGGACAGCTTCTCGACTGGCATCGCGAAAAACAGCGGCACAACCAGAAACAAAGTCACCGGCAGTGGGTGGGGGTTTGTCCGATAGTTCGACGAAGACTACCACTTGCACAGAGGGGCGTAGTGTTTACTTGTGCAGGAACGGCAAGGGCTAATTACGCTGTCCTGGTCCCAAGTGCAAGCGTAATGTGGGCATTGACGGAAAGTAAGCCGAAGGGTGGATGCTGAAATAGTTAGTGGGAAAAGTAGCCGAGACTGAAACGGAAAAGTCATCCTGATGCATGACAAATCTGCCGCGAGATTGAAGGAAGCTCAGAATCCCCGCAAAAGATCTGGCTGGTAGGGCGCGCGGTGCAGCAATAACCCAGACCTAACGGTAAACTTAACCACAACCCCGAAACTAAACCTAATCCTTAACGTAATTATAAACCTAACCCTAAACCCGACCTTGACCATAACCCTACTCTAACACTAACCCAAACCTTAACATTCAACGAAAACCTAAGCCGCAATCCAAACCCTACCTCTAACCGGAACCCTTAAACTTGACACAAACCCAAACCCTAAACTCAACTCTCAGCCTGACACTGACCAAAACCCTGAAACTAACCCTACCTCTAAACCGAAACATCAGGTTGTCCATTTCCGTCTTAGCATAGGATAGTTTCCCACTAGCGATTTTAACATCCTCATTCGGCTTGCTTGCAATGCCCACATTGCGATTACATGTGGAACCAGGACAGCGTAACCGGCTCCAATAGAAGAACTTTCACAACACCAGTCCCTCCTTTCTTCCCACACCCAGTCACTATTACTGGTCAGTACTATGCGACTGCTTTCGACGGCTCTAAATTGAGCTCCAGAGCGCAAGGAGACGAACACGTCCGGTAACCTGACCGATGAACGCCCTTCCCATGGTAGGGGCAAAGACGACTAGAGAGGGGTGTGGGCGCAGTGCTTGGCGGGGTTGAACTCGCGTCTACGCGCGCCACACACGTGCTGGTCAGCGGATGAACGAGTTTTGCGTCGGGAGTTACCATAAAGGCCATTGTGGCTTGAACCTCAGACCTCAGGGGGAGGAGAAGGGGAGGGGCGGGGTATCTCAACAGGACAAAACGGCTAGATCGCAGTCGGTAACCAGGCCCCATATTACAGGTGGCTGGTGGGTTTGTTTACAGGGGCCATGTTGTGAGGTTCCACAGTCGCATCTGACCCATTTGGCTTCCGCGTTACGTCTGAGGTTAGGATTAGGGTACTGGTTAACGGTTTCCGATTTTCGGGTTAGGGTTATGTCCTTAGGCTTAGGTTTTCGGGTCGCGGTTAGGGTTTGGGCGTACGATTAGGTTTCAATATTACGGTTAGGTTTTCCTGTTACGGCTATGTCTAAGGGCTACGGTTACGTTCACGATTTCGGTTAGGGTTGCCGTTAAGGTTAACGGTTGAGGTTCGGGTTAGGATTGAGGTTAAGGTCGCCGTCCGCTTCCCCATTCCTGGCTACCAACTGCGATCTAGCCGACAAAACTATCGAGGTCTCGCCTGTTAGCACATCGTGATAGTTTGGAAGCCGTCGGAGTGGGGAGAATGTGCGTTGGATTGGCCTAAATATCCTTTCCATCAGGCTTCAGCGGCGTGTCCGAGTCAAGCCGACCGGATCGGTGCGCTCCAAACGTTCCTAAATCGGTTGTTTGAAGTTCCTAAACAATAATCTATGGGCTAGTACGAAGGCGGTGAGTGGGCGCAAGGTGAACTTTGGGGGCCCACTTTGTCGGTGACATAGGTAGCGGGAGCTGGCATAAACTCTACGAACCTCCTTAATTCTGTGACGGCTGAAGCAAATTAAAGATGTCCCCGAAACAACGACAAAAAATACGTCTATGAAGGTCAAGTTTACAGACACCAGCTGAGGAGGGATTAAAGGACCAAAACATCACGTCTACCTGCTGATGTCAGAAAGAGAAAGTGGGGAATGTAAGTCGCCAGACCTTCCTTCCCTAAGCGTTTTGCCCGAATCCCATTAGGATTCCACACAAACCATCAGAGCAAGCATCGAGGAAAGAACAAAACTCCGCGTAATTCCACCTCTGACCAGGGATGGAGGCAGTACATTCTCCACTAGAAGTCGGTGTTGGATATGCGCGAAAGTTAAGAACTGACGAACACAGCATAGAAACTCACAAAACTTCTAGCTTGCACCTCTTTAACATTATACGTTTAGGTAAGTTCTGCGGACTTGTGCCACGGGGAGGGGGGGGGCCTAAGTGGACAAAACAGGCTAGGCTTTCGACAGTGAAAGAGAAAGTAAGGCAAAGTAAGATGGTGACTAACCGGCTGGCGACATCTGTCGCGACTAGGACCTTGGCACGGCCCTCACAGAACTCGGAGAGGACGCGCTTACGTTCAGACTGACGCAGACGACCAGTCAGGCCGACGGCTGGGTGACCGCGTTCGCACAGGAAGCCCGCCAGGTAGCGCGTCTCGTGACAACGCGCACAGAAGACGATGATCCGAAAATCTACCGCCCCCCGAAGAGACAGAGAAGATTAAGAAAAAACGGGGCGTGAAAGAAGGCTAGAACTGATGTCTGCCGGATGGACCATGGCAAGCCGACTTTCGTCGGGACGTGAAATATTCGGACTCTGAGAGCACATATATTGCAATCGTAAAATCCAAAATTAGCATCAGTCAAGGTAAATAATCAATATTTGAAATTCTTTATCGAGGCCCTGGAGCGTACATCTGATTGGAAATGCAAATCTGACGCGATTTATTCAGGCTCGAACAGAAAAATCTACATGCAATACAGTTAGCCTTTGGAGGTAAAGCGTTGCAGGCTAACCGAGGAGTGTCGAAAACGCCCGTTTGACAATGTGTGCGAAACATTCCCTTCAGAAATCAGGAATGGGAACGAATTCATTCTGTTTATACCATGGGACAGGGAATAATCGGGCCTAGTGCGATTGTTGAGCAGACATATGACAGGAATTCTAGAAACTGGGGAGGAAGAACCACTTGGTGTTCACCACCTACGGTGTTATGGTAATTTCTGAGGTTCATGAAATACTGACGAAAATCTTTAAATATACCTTTAAACAGAAAGTATTACTGTGACGAGGTTTAAAAATTGATTAGCGTAAAAATATTCCAAAGACAATTTGGCATGCTGAAGGGTGTCGCCTGGTTGGGTGTCCCTCCAACGATGGATAAAGGACAGCCCTTATGCGATAAAAACACTACTCGTTTTTATTTTAGTTGATAAGCTATTGTGGATAGGTGAAGAAGTTGACGGGAGCATCAGCCTGATATTTCAAATAAGCCGACTCATGTAGGCGGATTGCAACTAACCCTCTTGTTCATTCCCCATCTTCTGGGCTTCCGTGCTCCCCTTAAGGGCGCATTCCACCAACCAGTCGAGGACAGCCAGTTTGTCCGTTCGCCGCACAGGCAGGCAGAAGTGAGCGAGACCAGCCGGAAGGCCCACCGCCGCTGACCCAACTACCTGGCCAACCGTCGTCTGGGCAGTGTCTCCTGTCTGTCCGTCGGAGGGGGAAACACCGCAGAACACAGCATCGCGGTTTAGTGCCGCGCGACGCAGCTTTCCCACATCCTTGGTCATGGTTGCGGTGTAGAGGTGGGTCTGGGGATGTGGGAATCGGGCACCCTTGTGTTGGTACACATTCTCTGAATGGGAAAGAGCACGAACGTAGTCAGGGGGGAGAAGGAGAGGGGACGATAATAGAACATTACTAGCCTACAATGTGACCCGTTAATACAGGTGGCTTACAGTAAGACGAAGCCTGGTGGTCAACCTAGATGCGGGCGACCCGCAGCATCCGCAGGTGCTTGCGCTAACTGTTGTTACAAAATGAGTAGGTTTACGGGCCTGATGAATAGACGGCCGTGGATCAAACAGAAGTAATGCCTTCATGCATGGATGAGCACTGATCTTGAAAGTTGGTTACAAGTCGTAGAGGTGCAACGACATGGCGAGAGAGGTTCGTAATCCTACAAGACGTTGCCTGCCGTTGTCGAGCACAATCTTAGAACATTAAACTGGCTTACCAGTGGGCGTGGATTGTGATGCCCCCTTTCGAATTCAAGAGCTTCAGGGAACAACCTTCATCATCAAACCGTTGCACGCAGCCACTGCACGCCACGTCATGGTTTTCGTCAGATGCAGGTGTCGAGCTTTAGAGCTTCAATTTTGCTGAACATCTCAGGAGATGAGTGACAGAAGTATCTTAGTATTGTTGAGAACACTGAACAGTTGCCCCCGAACATGAACATAACACTTTTCCGGATAGTTTATATGCACCAGAAGTGGTGGTAATCCAACAGTTGTACTACTATAATATTGCCACATCCATGCGAAAGGACATCAAAGCCGGGTCGAGTTGTTAATGTTCGCGGGCTTTCCATAGAAATAAAAATAGCAGTGTCAAGATAAACTTGTCAAAAATAACCTCCGAATTGGTAGAATGAATAATCTACGCAAAAAAAAACAAGCGAACAAACATTAGAAACTATGATTTCAGGCAAAAATGTTCTGATGAGGCTGTGCAGCAGGCGTCTTCTATTTGGATAGCGGCTTTTGCTTACATTTCTGACCGATAGGAGGAAAACTGGAAATTAGAAGGCAACCTTCAGGAATACGAGCATTTTTGTGAGCATGTGACAATGTTGAGAAAAACGACACGATTTTTCGGGAAGTATATGCATTTGTTCGGGTTATACGATTTACTTACAAGGAAATGGTCACTAACATCAAAGTGAAGCCAGGATGAGAATTTTAGACTTCCCACGTACACTCCGTCACTTCCCTGAATAAACCAGATAGTATAAACAAATGCTCGAAGTGTTGAAAACAACGCACTACGAGCTTCAAAGAGGACTCTGGTCTAGATCTGCCAGTTTTAGGGAAAGAATTCCTCCAAAACTTTGTACCCGTGCCGGCTTGCAAATGATTTCTCCGCACGACCCGGCCCCAAACGCAAAAGCCCGAATGGTCAAACGAAAAACCCTCTAAGCCTAGCGTTTTCGATGCTATGATTTTCGTGCCTCTCCGTGCTTTTATCGAGTCCAACTTATACAGTCTCCTCAACGTACTCCACGCATCAAACATAATAAATGTCTATTATTTAAAAAAAATCAAAAGCCCATTGCTAATTCTGTTGAATCGTAAAGGAGCCAGGTTTTCATGTCGCATCATACCCCGCTCAGCCCATTTTATGAACAAAATTACATATACTACATTTATTTAAGTAGGTATTTCAGTGCGATAAAATGAATAATCTGACGGTCAAAACTCGGGCAGCATGCACACGGCGCAAACAGCCAAATTCTGACGATCGCTTATATCACAGTAGCATTAAAATTTTGAAGGAAGGCTAAACAAAAACAAGTGCCCATATGCATTTTCCGGATTCAACTGAAGCCAAAGCCGTATATAGCACTTCCAGGAGGTCGTATATGCAGTGGTACGACCTCTCCTTAATTTGTTAACTAGGCTGGATGCAGAAAAGCTAATTGAAAACCTACCTCAGGTGTTAGCATACTAAGCAGAATTTTTATAATTCGCTGATGGACGGACACAATTAATTCGCCCGGGCGTGCGAGGAGGAGGGAACCACCGTTACATGCGCGACAGATGCCTCACTCCTTCCGCCGGCAAGGCAGATAGACACAGCGGTTGAAGCCAAATCCACAAGTTTCGCGTAGGCTCTGCTCTATACGAAACATTTGCTACATTAGTGAGTCCCATAAACAACACAGTGAAGATGCACTGCATCCCGACCCTGAATCCCCCAAAGTCCCGTGTGTTATCGGGTCGTGATAGTCTAAAACGTGTCGGAATGTCCACAACGAGGAAACTGAGTGCTGGAACTGAGCTATAACGACTCCACTTTCTCCTTTTGCTCACGTACTAGCGGTACATCCGAGTCAGGCGAATTGAGGATGAAATCAGGTGCAACAGTCAAGACGACGGCTTTAGGCCTCCATCTAAAGACTGTAGCACGCAAACAGTGGACACGTGCGACATCAAATTGACAAAAGAAGAGGTACAAACCTTTTTTGCCACTTTCGTTGCCCTCTGCCTCCCTTTCCTGCTGGATCCGATCTAAGTAGGACTGGCCTTTCTTGGCTCTGTTGGGGTGTTTCGATGGTGCGAGCAAGGCTACCGGTCTCTCAAAAACACTCAGGAGGGCGTCAATGTCATCGGCGAACTCCATACTGAGCATTCGGTCGGCCTCGTCTAGTACCAGGTGCTTCATTTTGGAGAGGTGATGCTGGGCGAATCCAGGCGACTGTTTCATATGCTCCAACAGGCGGCCGGGGGTTGCTGGCATGAAGGGAACGCAAACCAATACCACGTTACTATACACGCGGGCATAGATCTGAAAATCAAATACTAAGGTCCGAGTTGTCTTTGAGGTGGAATTTACTTAGGAGAAGAGAGGATTTGAGTAACAAGAGGGCGGACGTACCAACAATGATGTGATGACGACACCAGGCCAGGGCAATCGCCTGTTCTACGGCGTCCTCGCCGCCAATTAGGCGGATGACATTCAGCTTGCCACCAGCCCCCGACACAGTCAGTTTGCTGTAGTCAAAGTCTTGCATAAGCAGATTCGCAGTTTCCGCAATTTGGAGGACTAACTCTCTCGTTGGGGCTAATATGAGGGCATACCCAGTTGGCCGACCCGCTGATAGCCAGCACTATGAACAAATATGGCAACGGTGAATAAGAAGAGTATGGTTGATTTGCAGACAATTTTCTAGTAAAAATGGAAAGTGGATAACATGAAGTGTAACGGTAAGAAAAATTCGGAACCGTGGATGTGAAAGTTAATTGGCGCCATAGTATAGCGGGCAAGTACGGTAAGTGCTACTCGCAATTCCTGACTCTTCTAGTCCAAGTGGACTACCCAAAATGCAGAAACCATGTGAGTTGAGGAGCTGTCTTCGCCCAGACCTCCGTTTAAAACTGGGAATCAGCACCTTTCGAAATGTAGACAGCTATTCTCGGCGAAAATCATCATTGCTCTCATATGGCGTTTGTGTATAGAATGACCAGGAACAGATAGTCGCCTCGAAGGATTGGCATTCACACTGAGTACCACGCACCTCGCTGTCATCTGTAGATAATCGAAACTGCGTTAAAGACAGCATACACAACCTGGCGGCACCCTTGACGAACGCGGGAAACCAGATGTGGATAGCAAGCATGTTGTCTAGGTCGAAAAACTTGCCTCCAAGGCCGAGCCCGGTTATGGGAAAGGAGGGTGGCACATTGCGTTACTCGCTGAATGTGCCTCGTGATAGGTCAGTCACCGTGTCGTCTTGATTTCGTCTCATCACAGGAGTATAGAGGTATATAGAGGAAACCGTGAACTCAGCCCGCGTAATTTCTGGGCAGGACAATGCTGATTCCACAGGGTGATACGATTACAGTTGTTTCCGAAAGAAGAATCCCCAGTCAGCATATTAGTGGCTTAGAAAGACTCAGAAAAATAAGGCGACGTTTGAAACAATCGCGTTTTGTTTAGACCAAGTAGAGATAAATCCAGTGATATCATACCCAAACCCGTTAGACCTGACGGCTAACTACAGTTAAGAGAACGATTATGGATGCTTTAAATTCACAGTCGTAATGGACTTCGTTGAAAAAATAGGAAAACTTCCAAAGTCTGAATGGGGCGCAAGAGAAAGGAGGCACACATGGAGCAAATAAAGCCAATTCTGAGTAACTTGCCTGGAGGATAGGCAACAGGAATGCTGCAGTCTTGCCCGACCCAGTCTCCGACGTACCGATGACGTCTTTTCCTAAAAAAAATAATAATTTAGCCTTGTGACATCGGATACTAACCCTTTAGCGCATGGGACAAGACTGCAACCTGGATGGGCATAGGGTATTTCCAACCAATGCGTCGGCAGCACTCCGAAAGTTCGGGGCTGAGTCCGAGCTCTTCAAACGTAGGCATGGCTGAATGCAAAAAAATAATTGGCTAAGTTTAAAATGACATTATAAAAAGGTTCTTCCAAAAAACTGCATGGATTCTGCGAAGTTCCTAAAATGGTAAACGACGGCCTACGCAGCACTAAGCGAGATCAGATGCATTATTCACTGAAGCGGTATTCGAAGATCGAAGAACGTTGATGCCGAGAGAGGTGACGAGCGCAAAACGCAAGGACATGTCAAAGATGTGATAATTTGTTCGACAAGTCGGTCTTTATCTGGAAAAAAACACAAGGGCGAGGAAACAACATAGACGCCGGGCAAATACGGAATCCGCGTCCTAACACATCAAGTCGTCTGGCTCTCAAGAGGAAATTCAACAAAATTTCACGTCTATTGTAGTGCATTTTTCCAAAAAAAGGCAACATTGAGAAGCGTGCATTCTGCACAGATGCACGGTAGTGGTCAGAGCCCTTGACGAGCTGCCTGCTCAAGGCCTGGTCGTAGGCGCGACGTGGACTCGGACTGTGGAAGTCAGTCAGTTTCGGCGTGGTGAGTCGATCGAGTGATTAAGGAGTTTGTGGGAGCCCGTGATTAGCTGTCCTCGGGACTGAAGACGGGCACGTACTATGCACTCGAAAACGGTTACCACGTGGTTCTTGGCGCGATGTATGGTTCAGAGGCGGAAGGTTTATACGTTCTCGAGGAAAAAAGGCGTTGAAGGCATTTCGGCTGCTCAACCAGTTCGAAAGAACCTTGTCGCGGATGAAACCATAGAATCACAAGATCTGCAGGACGAAGAACTGTCTTCGAAAGATTTGGACGAGCTGTCATATGGAGATGTTCACATTAAAGGTGGAAAAATGTTGCAGGGTAGCATTGCCAACAGGGGAGGAGGGTCGCGGTACGGGGAAAGAATTCTAGGTACACATCAGTAGTAACCATTTTGACAAGAGTTATGACCCTTAGCCGTCCACACGAGGAGGGATTTCCGCGATAAGCCGAACGCCGAGTTAACATGTCTGCGAAATGGAGACGGTCGAGGTAGAATATGCCGAGGATACTACTTTTTTAAGTCCTCGGAACGGACGCATGCAGATGATGCTCAGGAATGCTAAAAGCACTGCAACACAGCCTAGGAAGAAGAGAAGATCACTGTGATGACTTCATTTTGGATCTGAATTCTTGAACAGCACACAGTCTTTCGCTATAGAGACTGACCGGTCCGCCGGCCACGAACCCTATAAGGGAGGAGGGGTCGCTACTGTGTCGACTTGTGTCAACGTATGATTTGCTGTCTGAGCACCTTTTCCACCACTTTCGGAATAGGTAGTCGGACCGTCTACTTCAAACAAATACGTGACTGTACCTTGTGAATACGGACTGTTCCTTTCGCAGATGCTATTTTTGTATGTTACTTCCCTAATTTACCAAATGTAATTAACAAACAACGCGCAAAATACCGCTCGCTTGTCTTCACGGTTTATGTGAATTCGGTTTTGAGTTCAAAGTCCTCGGCACCGAATAATATCCGATCGAAAAAGTTATGTGTCGGCAGGAAATGGTAGTAGAAGTAAAGTAGGGAGCACTATATTCAAAGGAAGAGGTGTTCTTTAAATATTTACCTCTCTTGCATAGTAAAACGACCTTTTTTCGCCTACGTCGCTCAATCTCAACATGTCGATATCAGGGGTATATCGGCAAAGTGGCCAAAGTCGATATCCAGGCGATATACCTATCTCGACATGTCGATACCGACATGCTATGAGGGTTGTATACATGCTAGTCCCGTTTTAGTAAGCAAATTAACAGTTTTTTTAGGGACCTGTTGACAGGCATCGTCGTGACAAATAATAGGTAGGGACTCGGACCTAGTATTTCTCAAAGTAAAAGTGACAATCAACTTGCTGGGTCGTGAGAGGTTGTTTGTTGGTAAATTGCCACCTGCGTGATTGACACAACCTGACCATAAGCCCCTCCAAATGACGTGTCGTGTGCATCGGTTGTGTGCATCATGTTGGAAGCATACAATAATGTAAGTGACGGCAGGGGTATTACAGTCTCATTCTTAGGAAGGTTCATACTTATTGCTAAAAGTGAATACACTAAGAGGGGGCAGCGTCTTCCGCGGGTCCGGGGTCTTGGATGCCTAGTAGTATGAGTATATCGCGTCAATGTCGGGTAGATAGTGTGCTTTCGATATACGTATATCGAGTGGATGGCGCTTTTGTCCGGCGCATGTGTATCGAGTAGATATCGAATTTCCGACATAATCGAAAAACGACGGTAGCAGAATGGATAGCAATTTACACGACTCCTTCTCCCACGGAAATACTACCGTTTTGTACAAACTCAGTACTGACTCACAAGGGTTATGTGTCCCAGCTAATCAGCTGGAATTAATCCCAAAACGATGGTCAGAGTACAGAATACAAGGGAACGGAAATTCGTGAGGACAGATGAAGCAAGAGGCTTAATCTGTAATACTCATTAACGTTAAAAACATAAGTAATCGTGAAAAAAAATAGAGAAATAAGACACGTAGACTGGCCACGCGCAAACAGTGCAACCAAGAACCAATAAAGGACAGTATGCAACCAGGACACATAATTGTCAACCCCCATGCAGCGGTTTAATCAGTCAAACTGAGGTGAGGACATAGGATTAGAAAGATTCATGGCCTCTCAAATATAATGTCATTTCTCTGAGTGAATCCGCTGAAGTATATAACCTATGATAAGTACTGCAATGTTTAGCAAAAAGATGCGTATTTAGGACTACAGGGAAAGTAGCCGACAGGTAGAACCTGGAAATGAAGTGAATGCTTCTAAATCTGTTGCTTAGATCTTCCGTCAAAGATCATCTACTAACTCCCACCAAGTCATTCCGCCCTTGTTTAGTACCAACTATACCTTCATTGCAGAGGAGTCAGAAAAGGCAGAAATGTTAAATTCATTCTTTGCCAAGCATTTCATCATCATCATCATCATCATCATCATCATCATCATCTTCTTCTTCTTCTTCTTCTTCTTCTTCTTCTTCTTCACCCTCCGCCTCCTCATCCTCATCATCATCATTAACAACATCATTAATTTTTCTACTGAAAGTATCCAGAGACCGATAAACCATCTTACTGACTTTACTCAGTAGGTACGGACAATATCCCAAACTTTCTCAAATAACAACTAAAAGATTGTCCTCCTCTACCTAGCAAACTTTTTTGCAGTTCAGTTCAGTTTATTGAGGGAAATAGGCGTAAGCCTTTGAGTACCATATTTGCAACGTAAAAAAATGTGTGGAATACAGATAAATGTTCTGGGCTGAAATAGTTCAAACACGCCCATAAGTGTATTCCTCGTAAATGGCTCCTTTCCTGATTATCGGAAAACTTCTAGTATTATTCCGGTATTTAAGTCTGCCTGTCGTTCTGACGTTCAGAACTATCCAGGTGTCCATAAAACGCCTTCTCTCTCCATAATCTTCGAAAAAAGTATCACCTTAAAGTTACCGACTTTTCCATAGCCAATTAGGTTATTTAAACTACCCAGCATGGTTTTTTTACCAGATCGCTCTTGTGATACATGTCACCTGTCGTTTCTCAATCTACTTAGTTCTCCTCGTAATGACCATCTATCTGTTCTAGTTATTTATCTTGATCTTAGTAAAGCCTTTGATAAAGTGCCACATAAAAAATCTTGGTTAAATTAGAAGCTCCGAGAAATCGTAGTCCCCTAATAGGCTTTATCAGGTCATACCTGTCTAATCGTAAACAAAAGGTTTTAGTGGGATCTCCACTTTCCAGTGAAACCCTATTGTAAGTGGTATCCTTCGAGGTACCGTCTTAGGTCCTCTTTTGTTCTTACTTTACATAAATGATATCTCAGCAGCAGTTAAATATACCCAATCATTTATTAATGCCGATGATCTCAAATGTGTATATTCGTTCAATAAATCTACGACCCTACATTTTCTGGAACAAATCCACGCTGACTTGCTTGCGCTCTCAGTTTGGAGCTCAAAATGGCTAATGGGATTCTCTCCGTCTAAATGTCGCTCTATGTGCTTTGAACATGATAGGCTACCCCATCCAGTGGTCTTTTAAGGGACACCTATGAATGAATGTACCACCATCAAGGATTTAGGTTTACGCTACACAAATAATCTTCATCTCTCGCCACGCGCTGACAGAATTACAGCCAAAGCTGCCCAGATGTGTGGCTTTATTTCTTACAATTTCTATCTTCCCGAAATTAAATTAAGACTCTACTGTATGTTTGTACTTCACATTCTCGAGTATTCTTGCCCATTATTTGGTTTGACGGACAAGACTGGCCGTTCAAAGACGTTTTGCTGAAAAATTTCCAGGCGCGGAACATCCAAATATCTTCTACTCAGCTAGAGGTCAGCTAAATAACCTTAAATTTTTATGGGTTCGAAGACTAGATGCGGGCTTCTGTCTCCTCTTTCGCATTAATAATAGTTCAAATCTTCCTCGGATTCCATAACTTACCCTTAGTAGTCTTCCATACAATCTTCGTAACTCTTTCCTGATTATACCTCCTCCCGCCTCCTCCAACTCTCCTCTGGAATAAGCTTCCAATAAATGTAAGATCTTCAGATAATCTACACGCTTTTAAGAGAAGGCTGCGCATTTATCTGAACACTGACTCCAGTAAACTTTTTATTTTCCTCATCCTTCCAGGACAAATTTCTCTAGGACATCGAGAGGGAACCACCGGGGATGTAGCACGCCGCCATTAAATTTCCGTATCCGTTCACATTTCCTTCTTTTGTGTGTACTATCGTTTTCGAGGATCTCTCATCAAAAATGTTAATTATTTGATTTTTCTGTTCATACATATTGTCCCTTACAGAATGCGATCTATCGACGCTCTTGACGGAATCTTCTCTCTTCGCCATATACTAGTACTCTGGTCGCATCTTCCTCGGCTGGACTCGGCCGACTGTAACCGATCGCATCTGGGCCCCCATCGCCTCGATACTGGTTTTCTTTTCGCCACTTTGACATGAATGGCCTCATACGGCATATGAATTCTGCCTTGATGATGCCCGTTTAGAACCTTTTACTCAGTACCACACACAGCCCAGTCTTGCCTGACCCGCCTACTTACCCCTTCATGAAATCCGCTATATACTGCCATGTACAGGCCGGTCCTACCTGCTTTTATACACTCAGGAGCGACTGCTTTTTTCCTAAAATGTTAATCCAGTGATACTCATTTTGTTTATATGTTACGAGTTTTTTCCCTGCTCGCTCATCACTTTTCGCATCATACTAATTCTTCGATAACTATGGATTAAGTATTGTATAGATTCTGCATATCTGTTCTAAAATTCTAAAATTGATATAAAATTTATTCTTACTTGCTATGAACGTACCACCACGGGTCTTGAACAGGAATTATTATATCAGTCAGCTAACTACAGTAATCAGTTTCCCTTGCCCGTCATTCCCCACCCCCAAATTCTATTGTTCTTTATCCATATCAGGGTCTTTTGATGTCACAAAATTTCTTGCAGAACCGGATAGGTGCATCCGGACAATATGTTCCTTGGGCAGCCAAGCACTGTACGGCATAGCCCACCTCCCTCAGAAACAAACGGTCATTCCCCTTAAACATTTCATTCTGAATGCCAGGACAGTGCTTAATAAGATGTCTTTGATTCAGACTCCGGTGTTCGTCCATTGCCCAGATATTGTTTTATTTAAGGAGACATGGGCAGCAGCTTCCGTAATTGACAGTGAAATCTCCTTTCTAGGCGGTAGTGGTCAAGGATGTAAGATCAACTTCAATCACACAATAATTTTACTCCGACTAGTAACAGAAGTCAGGAAGTTATAAGGCCAGGTTTATTCTGTACACAGGGCAGGTCGCCGTAAGTTGGCTGTATGCTTGTGACAGAGATAAGTGGCAGTTCTGGAGAGCGTCAGTTGCGGTGACTTCTGTGTGTCGCTACCACCAAAAAGGGTGTTGTGTCCTTTTTGCCTCTGCACTGTCTGTTAAAAATCAAGCTTCGAATTTGGTTTCAAATTTTTGCCCTCTCTCGGAATTTAGTTTCTTTGAGAATTCGACTTACTGTACGCTCTTAGAGCCTCAATTAAGACGGAATTAAGACCTAAAATCGACGCATCAACATCTTATTCCCAACTAGTCTTCTGCAGCACATTCCCATTACTCCGATTTCGGCCGTGCTCGTTTCTGCAACTTGCAAGCCCAGACAGACGGATCATCTGCAGAACAATACATCCGAAGCTTCAAAAAAGGCTGAGTTACTTTTCTACTATTAGACATTGTTTCATCATCGTCTCAAAGTATTTGTCTAAACTTCTGCCCTCGGAAGCTTCTCGACCATACCATATGAAGTTACTTTCTACCGAAAGATCGTCATAAAAGCCTTTTTCATACTTAAGCCTGCGCTTTTTGTGTATATAGAAAAATTATCCAGAATGTTGGAGTCCGCACCAGTTTCAAAGTAACGCGCACTTGTGGTTCGAAACGGGGACCTCAAAAGTTAGAGCCAGCTCTGCTAACCCCTGCACTATTGCCGCACGACCTGAGCACACAGCTAAAAGCTTTGTTAGTTTGTCACCTCAGGATCTCGTAGGATATTCATGTAATGGTTGTCAAACGATAGCCTACAAGATGCATCAACTAGAGGAAGAAGTAAGAAATCCGAAGGAACTTATACACAAAACTGTTTCTTCAGAGGCCCGCTGGGGTTCATCTCGTAGAGGTTAACTCGGAGTAGAGAGAGAGCCATCCAGTGTAAAGAATCCCCAGAAAGCAATCATGTAGTGAATAAGACAACTGCTGTTAGTAGCAAATAGTGGCATCCGATGAAAAAGAATAAGAAGAAGACTACACCTAACACCACGGGGAAAAGTCGCCAGAATACGAAAGAGAGCATATCGGTCTTGTCCGAAAAGCAGTTTAAAAACAAAACGACCGTAAATGTGCCAGCAGAAGAAGTGAAAGGAAAGGAGCAGTTGACGCCCAACCGTAGAAATCCCCATACAATGTGCTCATTTCCGGAGCCTAACTTAGAGGGCTTATCAATTAGCACAATGACATATGGTTATGGACCCACGGTGGAATTAGCTGCCACCGCGAATTCCCATGTCAACAGAGCTGAGAACCGAGTCGAGGAAGCCTCTACTTCATGGGGGTCAAGCTCTCTTCAGAGCCCTCTGATGGGAGGCAGTGCCGATCAACCACATCGCGCAACTATGCATGATGCCTCAACAAGATCCGCGGACGAACTTCACGGGGACATAAATACCAATATGACAGCCCCTTCCTTTTTGCCAGTCTACTTCGAAGAGGGCAAAGGACCGGTCAACGAAGTCCAAACCGCAGAACACACAGGAATGCTTAACAAGGATCACTGCATCATAATTCAGGGCCTCCGCCAGTATCCCCAGGGAACGAGTCGCTACTGACTTAGAGCAATTCCAGAGACTCCTAAATGAAATGCTGCAACCAACAGAAGATGTCACAGTCCTAAAGGCGTTTAGTCTTGGTAGCCGTACAACCGCCGCTCCACAGACACGACCAAGACCCCTGAAACTTGTCCTAGGTAGCAATGAGCAGGCGAAACTAATCCTTTCCAGACGTTTTCGACTGAAGCATTCCCATGAAGGAGTGTTTTTTCAGCCGGACTACTCACCTGCCGAGAGAATGAAACGCCGCGAACTTGTCCTAGAATTGAGAACACGACAAACCAACGGAGAAAAAGACTTGACAATCTACAACGACCGGATAGTCAAACGACATTCCGCCCCCCTCTGGATCAAGCCTATCCGAATGACCGCACAGATACCACGGTAGCCTGTGTCGGGGTTGAAAAAAAATCACGCATGAATTCGAAACTCATATTCATGTAAACCAACGCGCAAAGTGTACTTTCTAAACTGGATGAACTTCGTATCCTTACTCATGACCTCCACTCAGACGTTATCTCAATAACAGAAACATGGCTTTCCGAACAGATTGATGATAGAGAATTCATGCTCCCTGGATTTCAACTGTTCCGCAGAGACAGACAAAACAGGAGGGGTGGAGGCATAGTAACATTTGTTAAAAATGGCTTATACGTTTCAGAAAAAACTGCCCAATTGACTTGCAGTACGAAAGCGTTGTTGCTGACCATAAGGGCACCGGGCTCTCAAAGCCTCGATATCTTGACAGTATATCACCCCCCGAGAAATGAACCTGACGCTGATGCCCAACTGCTGGAGGAGCTTAGGTTATTTTCAACGTGACCGACTACTCTCATCGTTGGAGATTTTAATGCACCTCACATAAACTGGAGCCGACTGCTCTGAAGCAGCATTCGACCAGCAGTTACTGCGTACCTCCGACAATCTGCTTCTAACCCAACACGTAATGTTTCCAACGAGAGTTCGAGAGGGCCAGCGAATGAATTGCCTTGATCTGGTGTTCACCAAGTCCTCTGACAATATCGACTTTGTGAATTGCCTCCCTCCGTTGGGTCAGAGTGATCATGTAGTTCTCATGTGGAAATACACCTTTTTCTCCCTGCCTGCACAACCGCTCGATTCCCGACCCAATATTTGGCGCGGAGATTTCGAACAGATGAGAAGGGGTCAAAGTCCTATCGACTGGGCATCCACTCTATCCGGCGATGTAGAAGAGGTTTGGTGTCAGTTCAAAGAGTTAGTCCACAACCTCATCTCCAATCATTGCCCAATCATTCGCAGAAGACTAACAAATAGACCCTGCTGGCTGACTCCGTCCCTAAAGAAGAAGGTTAACAAGAAGAGGAAGCTGTGCAAAGATCCCTGACTGACCGGACGCCAGAATCCCTAAGCAGTTATAAGTCACAGAGAAATCGGGTTAAAGTTCTCATCGCTAGAGATCGGAAAGCCTTTGAAAAGGATCTTCTCAACCGTGCCAGGGTTAATCCCAAAGTTCTTTACAGCTACATAAGACAGAGCACGCGGAACAAAGACCCCATCCCGCTGCTGCGAACAACCGAGGGAATGGAAATCTCCGATGACAAGGATAAGGCTGAACACCTCTCTCAGTTTTTCCGGTCCGTCGTGACAAGTGAACCTGATTTTCTCTCCCCCATTTGTGAAGACGAAGAAAAGCCTACCCTTGAAGCCGTATTTTTCACCGAAGCAATTGTTCGGAACGAGTTACTTAATCTGAAAGAATCGACCTCCCCAGGCCCTGATGCAATCCCCGCCAAGCTGCTGAAGGAGCTAGCTCCCGAAATGTCCAAGCCATTAGCCTTGATCTTCCAAACATCATTTCTTACTGGATGCCTGCCCTCTGACTGGAAGTCCGCTACCATTACTCCGCTTTTTAAGAGCGGGAGTCGTGCGTCTGCAAATAACCACAGCTTAGTGAGTCTTACCTCCATCTGTTGCAAAATCATGGAGAAGATCATTAAGAAGGCCTTGATGCAGTTCCTCGAGCAGCACCACCTCCTCTCTGATGCACAACACGGCTTTCGAAGTGGTAGGTCATGCCTCACGAATCTGCTCTTTACGCTCGAACGCTAGACCAAAGCACGCGATGAAGGTAGTGTGGTGCACGTCATCTACATCGACTTCAAAAAGGCCTTCGACAGCGTTCCCCACCAACGTCTCTTGCACAAACTGCGCAACACTGGAATTAGTGGACGCCTTCTTGTATGGATCCATAGCTTTTTGGCTGGACGGTTCCAAAGAGTGCAGGTCGGGCGTCAACAGTCTTCAGAGGTAAGCGTGGTGAGTGGCGTCCCACAGGGCTCAGTCCTAGGTCCCACGTTATTCCTCGTTTCCATAAATGGCTGCGTCAAGGACTTAGACTGTGATGCCATCCTATTTGTTGACGACATAAAACTGTGGAAAGTTATTCACAATGCGGCAGACGCAGACCACCTGCAAGCAAACCTGAACAGGTTCGAAGACTAATCGAAGCGCTGGCTTATGCCCTTCAATATAAGCAAGTGCAACTTTCTTCAACTAGGCAGCTTCAGAGCCTCCAGCCCCAGGACTTACTTTCTAGAGGGCACACCACTGCAACAGGTTGACAGTCAGAAGGACTTGGGTGTATGGATTACATCTTCACTCAAACCAACACTGCACTGCGCGAAGGCGGCTAAATCGGCTATGGCTACACTGCAAATCATTAAGCGAGCATTTATGGAATTTGATCCAGACAGCTTTTCAAAGATATTTGGCACCTACGTGAGGCCTCGTCTAGAATACACCATACAGGCGTGGAGACCTTGGACTGCCAAGGACTATACCGTTATGGAGAAGGTACAGAGACGGGCGACCAAAATGACACAAGGTCTGGGAGCGCTGTCTTACGAATCTCGACTGTCAACTCTCAACCTGTTTCCACTTTCCTACAGGCAATTACGTGGTGACCTTATACTTGCATTTCGCATTATCAACGGCCTAGGCTGTTGTTTAGATCCCACTGATTATTTCACACAAGTGAACACGCCCAATTTGAGCGGTCATCCCTAAAACTACCCGCCGGGAAAGCAAGGATCAATGGAAGAAAGTTCTTTTTCAGTCGCAGAGTGGTTGCAGCGTGGAATGCCCTGCCCACCGATACTGCAACCTCCTCCTGTGTGAGTTCCTTTAAGTGTAGACTTGACGGGCATCATGCCTCCCAGTTACCAGCCTTACATCCACTCACATAACCGGCACCAACTTAAACCGGTTTATACTACTTGTAACTAGTTAGTAGCCGTTATTGATTACTCTTTTTAACTAGCTGTCAGCGATTATGTACAAAACCCCTTTTTTCACCTTCCCACTATCAATGTTTTTCTCCGACGACTTGTAACCAATAGGCAGTTCAAAGGCGCTCGCCTATATTTCCCTTAATAAACTGAAACTGAAACGTCCGCAAGGTCGGCGCCCCGTGTGTACACTTGTAACCAATCAGCGAAAGAGATCGCGTTGATTGACTTCGATAGCACGCGAGAGTAGTGGCAAATGATCGACCAGAATTGTGGTGTGGACACTATTGCAGCAAGGCAGATCGAGGATTACCGTGCGCAGCCGTGGAGCGTATACAATAGATCGAGGGGACAGAGAAAAGGCTGCTACAAGGCTGCACTTGCATCCGCAAGGATCGTCAAGACAATCACAGTGGGGAAAGCTGCGTCTATGTTTAGCAAACACTTTTGTCTTTGGACCTACCGTATTTTCCCGCGACAGAAGACAGCTGTTGGTCTCAAGTTGTTTAAAAAATAAGTTTTCTTTACTTGCCGGCTGTATCTATCTTCCGTACAAAGACCATGACGATTTTCATCGTTGTCTCTCACAGGCATTTCATGCTGCGACCGAATTAAGCTTTAAATATCCGTCGGTTGCGGGTGACTTCAATCTTCCTGAATTCCTCTGTCGTCTGGTCTCAGAAGGTTCGAAGACCTACTTGAGGCTGGGGATGTTGGCATGTGAAAACAGGTTGTCGATTTTCCCACCCGATGTTCAAGCATGCCTAGCCTAATTTTTTGTAGAGGTTGCATGCCCCTTTCATTGTCATGCTTAGGCCTACTCGTGGGCTCGGACCACGATATAGTTGTCCAAAGGTAGAACTCGAAGCCGACAAAATTTCTTACCTAAAGTATAGCTTCTTCTTCGATTTTCGATCGCTCCGCACCGCCGAATTATCAACATACCTTAATTACTACGACTGGACTGTTTTCTTCTTAACTTCGAATGTACATTTTTGCACCACCAACTGTGCGATATTTTGGATCCGTTTATTTCTCTTTATGTTCCTGTAAGAAAATAATTAATGCCGGCGATGAGGCTTCTCTCGTCTTTATTTTTCGTCGTAGGTTGTGCAGACTTTCTCGTCTATTGCACCTCCAGAATGCTGTTTCCGTTCTGCCCTCGATTTTTGATCTTTTTGAGCGAGCAAAAAGAGTGTCAGAAGAAAAGCGACTAGCCAAGGCGGTACGCTTTTTCAAAAAGTAAAAGTCCGTGTGAAAACGTGGCTTCCCATCCTCCGAGGCGCTCATGGAAATCCCATAGCAGACGCCCAATTGACCGCTGATAGATTCAATGATTTCTTTTCCGACACTTTTATTAAAAGCTTCACCGCTCCGCTTCCGAACATCCAGACGTTGACCGGGGCCATTCTCGAGATGATAACTATTACTCTGTAGAACGTGACGGTTGCGATTCGGCGTTTTCGTCAATCTTATATTCTAAGATCTCAAGATGTCCTTGTTAGCATTTTAATAGCGGACGAAAATGAAATCTTCCTGTCTTTCCTGTGTAAGTTATTTAATGTCGCTCTTGGTAGTGAACCCTATCCTACAGTGTCGAAGAAATGACACATATTGCCTATCGTCAAACACGGTCACTCTACGTCATTTGGCGACTTTTTACCAATGAACACGCTCCCAGCAGCTTCGAAAGTCCTAGAGACATTGATCAAAGTTAAGATGTGTCACTTAACAGCGAATAACCTACTGAGTGCTGCTCAGCATGGATTACTCAAAGCTCGGTTTCGCAATACCTCTCAACTCTCTTTCTTTGATCGCGTTCTCAAATCATGAGACAATGGTTTTGCGCCTTACGCAGTCTATTTCGGTTTCAAAAAGGCTTTTGATCGTGTTTACCATTACCTTCTTCTCTTGAAACTGTCGTCTTTCGGAATAGGTGACAGGTTTCTGAATTCGATATCCTCTTACCTGGTTGGTCGTACACAATGAGTTAAGATTTCCAATGTTATATTCAATCCCACATGCGTGAGGAGTAGAATCATTCAAGGGCAGTGTGCACGGTCCGCTTTTATGTTGTCTTTTTGTCAGCGACGTGACACATTTCAGAATGGTAAGTCATTTAGGTATGCCGATAGTCTGAAAGTTGCATACAGGTATAAGCCTGCAGATCGGGACATGATACTCGAACAGGTCTTTGTCTAGTGGTGCTGCACATGGAGCCTTTCTCTTTCTTGATTTAAATGCGCAGTATGGTGGTCGGCGATAACCACCAACCCCAACTAATTACTGAAGGCCATGACATAAATGTGCCTGAAGTTATTAAGGATCTAGGTGTATCATACGCCAAGAGTCTCAATCTTTCGGAGTGCTGCGCCCTAATATTGTCCAAAGCACGTAGAAAGACCGGGTTTATCTTCCAAAATTTAAAAACTGGCGATATTAGAATTTGCCTTTACAAAATTTACGTCGGATCTGGCCTGGAATAATGTTCGTCTTTATTTGGCCTTATAAGTGCTGCTGAGTAGAAGAGGACAAAATCCGTCCAACATTTTATATCAATAAAGTTTGACCTTGGACCACCAATACTGGACCTAAGAGGAACGTTGCGAGCTTGCATGCCGTGACCCCTTTTGATTCCATCGTTTACAAATGGGGTAATTTTTACTGTTTAGGCTCTTAAACAATCACACTCTTAACCCGCTTATTACTTTGAGACTTCTCGACCATCCCCAACGTAATAGTCACCGTGAGGCCCTTTTATTTCCTCCTCTTGCACGTTCCGCTGAAGATCGTCGTTTCTTTTCTGTGGACGCAATTGCAATCTGAGACAAATTAACCAGGAATGCGAAAATTATGCAAAATTGTTCTTTATTTAAGCAAACCATTGCTCGTTTTTTGCAGTCAGAAAATACTGTCGGATTCAGTATTCAGTATTTAGACTTACCCCTTTGAACTCCCTGTGTGTACATAAATATCTGGAAAAATTAGCAACAACACGAAGAAATTCCAGCAAAAAGTGACTGCAGACATCGATCCACATATGACAGAGTCTGGTTATGGTTACAAAGTTACATAGTCTGCCTGTCGATTTAACATATGTTTGCCAATGCGATATTTAAATGTCTTCACAAATTGCGACATTACAATCGTCTCAGGCTGGTTATTCTACGGTTCCACGACACGGTTGGAGAAATGGTACTTTCTCACACCCAGTCTTCCTTTGGGCACACGTAATTTGAAAGAATGTCCCCGGGGGTTATTTGTAGTGGCGAGTTGGTAAAAGTCGTCACACCGGAGGGCGTAGTCTAAACCATGCACGATACGGTAAGTTTGTGTCGAATCTCCCCAAAACTGCCTACAACTCATTGTGTAGCTATTGAAGCTATTCAGGCGGTTCTCGTAAGGCAGTGCACTTTGACCTCCTACTAGTTTTGTGGCGCGCCTCTGCACCCTTTCGAGTAATTTGCAATCCTACTGCGTCCATGGTATCCAAGCCTGGATTTCATATTCAAACTGTGGCCTTACGAACGTGCCAAAGAATTTGCAGAATCATTCTTCATCGAAAACTGTGAATGCCCGTCTGATGGCGTACAACATTGACGGCGCAGAAAGGATAGCGGTTTGGTCAACTAGCGGGAAAATTCGGAGAGCAGATTTGTGGGGATATTGTCCGGGTCAGGAGATTTACCTTCCTTCAAGCTCTTAGATCTTCGAAAATCGCTTCTTCTAGAAACACCATATTCCCAATAATCGGATCTCCGATGCTCTAAGAAATAGGGTGAAGGAAAACTGTTTCCTTTGTGTAAACAGATTAGAAGAACT